ATCTAATATCAGAAAATCCTTTTGGTTCTTCCTTCAAAACACATCTAGATTCCAACAACTTCTCACCATACTTACCACCTTTAAGGTCTAATTATTTCATAGTCCTCTTCTTGCAATAGCATTTGAACTGTATCCCAGCCTCCACCTTTACACACCATATGGTTAATTTTCCAGATTCCAACCCAGGGGCTCTGTTATCTGGCCTTGCACTACTAACCAACCTTATCCGTTTCTCTTCTCCTCAGCAACTGTCCTTCAGTCCTCTTGGCTTCTTTACTGTTTCTTAATACACCAGATCCTCTGCTTCAACACAGCCTGGCTCACTGGCTCTTCCCTCTTCCCAAGTATTTTCCTGGCTTGACGACATCTTCAGATGTCTGCTGAAAACTCCACTGTCTTGGAGAGGCCCCTGCTGACCACTCATAAGTACTGCAGCCCTTTCATGACTTCTTCTCTTCTTCCTTACTGTTCTTCATTTATCATTGTCTCTAATTATTTTGGGATTGTTCCCCTAGTAGCTTAAATGGTAAAGAATCTGCCTGCAATGCAGGAGACTCGGGTTTAGTCCCTTAGTCAGGGAAAACTCCCCTGGAGAAGGAAATGGCTACCCACTCCAGTATTCTTGCCTAGAGAATCCCATCAACAGAGGAGCCTGGCAGGCTACAGTCCTGGGGTCGCAAAGAGTGACTGAGCGACTAACGCTTTCATCATATAATTTAATTACTTAAGTTTTTAAACTATTTTCTCCCTGTAGAATGCAAGCTCCATGAAGATAGTGTCTCCCTTGTATTTTTGTTCTTTGTTTTATTCTCAGCTTCTTAAACATACCTAGGAATCACACCCCGGTCTTCTGCATTGCAGGCAGATTCTTTACCATCTGAGCCACCAGGATGCCCTCTTGACTATATAGTCGGTTCTTGGTATGTAAACGTTGAATGAGTGAAGGAGGAATGCCTACTTATTTTTTATGACTCAGGGTACATGTCACTTACTGAGGATCTTCACCTAAGGGCCGGGATTATTTTTACCTTATTCATTGCTATATTCCTTCTGTCCAGTAAATAATTGTCAAATGAATAAATTAGGCTGGAAAGGCTTCATAGAAAACCATATATAGACCCCAAATAGAAAGAGGTTGGAGTAGGTGTGGCAGCTGTGGCATTAACAAGATGTAGATGTAGCCACTGCCTACAGCATGGATGGACCTGGTCATTATCATACTAATCAAAGACAGAAATAGATGGTATCACTTACATGCAGAATCTTTAAAAAAAAAATGACACAAATGAACTTATTTTTGAAACAAATGTTGAAAAGTACTGGGGAGGGCTTGTGGGGAGGGATAGATTGGCAATTGAGAATTGACATGTACACACTGCTATATATAAAATAAATTACCAACAAAGACCTATTGTTAAAAAAATTTTTTAAACTCAACTCCAAATCTGTGTAACCTTGTTCCTTTTTACCCTCACAAGCTTCTTCCTTATTCTTTATCTCATTGGGTGGCACTACTGACTGTACATTGTTCCTCAGATCAGCAACCCAGAGGTTAATTTTGACTATTTTGTATCACATCAGTCAATCCGTGAAGTCTGTTGATTTCATCTCTTAAATATTTCTCTTTATCTAAATCTCTAAATTCTGTAATTACTATGGAATTGTTCCATTGGTACCACTGTTCTCCATGGTATCCATGGAGATACCAAGGGAACATTTCATGTAGAGATGGGCATGATAAAGAACAGAAATGGCAAGGACCTAACAGAAGCAGAAGACATTAAGAATATGTGGCAAGAATACACAAAAGAGCTATGTAAAAGATCTTAATGACCTGGATAACCACGATGGTGTGGTCACAAGCCTAGAGCCAGACATCCTGGGGTGTGAAGTCAAGTGGGTCTTCAAAACAATCACTATGAACAAAGCTAGTGGAGGTGATAGCATTTCCAGATGAGCTATTTCAGATCCTAAAAGATGATGCTCTTAAATTGCTGCACTCAATATGCTGGCAAATTTGGAATACTCAGTGGTGGCCACCAGACTGGAAAAGGTCAGTTTTCATTCCAATCCCAAAGAAAGGCAGTGCCAAAGAATGCTCAAACTACCGCACAATTGCACTCATCTCACATGCTAGCAAATTAATGCTCAAAATCCTTCATGCTAGGCTTCAGCAGTATGTGAACTGATAACTTCCAGATGTACAAGCTGGATTTAGAAAAGGCAGAGGAACCAGAGATCATATTGCTGGCATTTGTTTGATCATAGAGAAAGCAAGGGAATTCCAGAAAAATATCTACTTCTGCTTCATTGACTACACTAAAGCTTTTGTGTGGATCACAACGAACTGTGGAAAATTCTTAGAGAGATGGGAATACCAGACCATCTGACCTGTCTCCTGAGAAGCCTGTATACAGGACAAGAAGCAATAATTAGAACTGGACATGGAACAATGGACTGGTTCCAGATTGGGAAAGGAGTATGTCAAGGCTGTATATTGTCACCTTGCATATTTAACTTATATGTACAGTACGTCACACAAAATGCCAGTCTGGATGACTTAAGCTGGAATCAAGATGGCAGGAGAAATATCAATAACGTCAGATATACAGATGATATCATTTTAATGGCAGAAAGCAAAGAGGACCTAAAGAGCCTCTTGATGAAGGTGAAAGAGGAGACTGAAACAGCTGCCTTAAAATTCAACATACATAAAACAAAGATCCTGGTGTCTGGTCCCGTCACTTCATGACAGATAGATGAATGAAAAGTGGACAGACTTTGGATGAAAAAGACAGTGACAGATTGTATTTTCTGTGCTTGAAAATCACTGTGAATGGTGACTGCAGCCATGAAATTAAAAGAAGCTTGCTTCTTGGAAGAAAAGCCCCAACAAACCTAGACAGTATACTAAAAAGCAGAGACACCACTTTGCCAACAGAGGTCCGTAGAATCAAAGCTATGGTTTTCCCAGTAGTCATGTATGGATATGAGAGTTGAACCATAAGGAAAGCTGAGTGCCAAAGAATTGATGCTTCTGAATTGTGGTGCTGGAAAAACTCTTGAGTCCCTTTACCAGCAAGGAGATTAAACCAGTCAATCCTAGGAAATCAACCCTGAGTATTGATTGGAAGGACTGATGCCGAAGCTGAAAGTCCAGTACTTTGGCCACCTGATGGGAAGAACTGACTCATTGGAAAAGACCTTGATGCTGGGAAAGATTGAGGGCAAGAGGAGAAGGGAATGACAGGATGACATGACAGTGGACTTGAATTTGAACAAACTCTGGGAGATAGTGAAAGACAGGGAAGCCTAGTGTGTTACAATTCATGGTGTCGCTAAGAGCTGGATAGGAATTAGCGACTGAACAAGGAACAACAATCAGCATGGAATTGGCCACTGTATAGTCTCACAAACAGTTTTGTGTCTTGGCCTGCAAACTGATTTCTGTGCCTCAAGTTATGCTTTTCCCCAGTCTGTTCTCCACAGTGTGGCTAGTACCATCCTTCTAAAATACAGACTTGATCATGCATTTTTCCACCACAGTTAGAAATAGGAATATCAGTTGAAGCAGTAAAAGAGAAGGAATATAGATGGGTAAAAGTACAACCAGATATACATACAGTTTTAGTGCTGATTTAGTGATTACGAGGGTTTGATCCTCAAAAATTCAGAACTCTATAATCTTAGAGTGTCTACTAAAACCAAAAATGTCATTTGCTTATACTATAAATGTGTTTATTCACTAGATACATCTTTCCCTGGACTTTAACATATACTCTGCCTCTCACACTATTATATTATAATCTACAGAATATTCAACTTTCATATATTCTTTAAATCACTGACATGATCCTCTATAAACAAGAGATATAATTTATTTTTCTCATAAAAATTTCCCACTTTTATATGATGTTTTAGATGGTGCATCATTCTCTGTGTCACTCTGGGTGTAGTATTCTAGTGCACCTTCTAAGTTTAAAGTGCAAGTATTCTGTAAAATCTTGGCTTTCAGAAAATATCTCAATCCAGGCAAAGTCTGGAGGTCACATCTGGCTTTTAAGAAGTTTGTGTTAAGTTCAAAATTATTACCAAGAAAATAGGGAAGAGGATTCATATTAATGTCCATAATCTTGCTATAGCATTTTCATTTTCTTCTGAAATGCAGTGGGTGCCAGGATTCAGGAAACAGAATCTGGATTTCTTCTCTGGGTTTAAAACCTCTCCGTATTTTTCCCATCCTGCTGTTTCCCCTTTTGTGTCCTCTTGTCTCCTTTACAAATTGTGCAGATCTGACATGTTTAGATCCTTAGTCACATTGCTTAGTCTGACCTTGAATCTTTGTTGATACATCTCCGCTACCTGCCAGAGGCAGGCAGCTCAAAAAGAGTGAGCTGGGCAAGTTCCAAGACATTCGGAAGTGTTTTAACCTGAAGACACACTTTAGTCTAAAGATGCCCAAGTTTGCAAATTTAAGCATAGATGATTTAAACAAAACATGCTTACATTTAAGTTATAGAGATTAACTGTGACTTCTGGTTCATACTCTCCTCTACCCTCTCTGTAATGCCTCAGATTTTTAAGATTAGTTTTCCAAATACAGCCTTTCTTGCTAGATCTAGCAGTAATGTGGCTTCTATGAATTATTCCTGGCTCTATCTAAAAGCATCATGTTTCATCTATGCTTTTAACTATGCTTTACCTCTAGTTAGGACATATGAGATCATCAGTCACCATGCCAGATGCTTTATATATGTTATCCAATTTAGTCATTAATATATGTCTTAAGCATAGTTGGTATCACCATTTTATAGATACCAAATCTGACATCAAAAGAATAAGTTACTTACCAAAGGTCCCATAATTAGTAGATGAAAATGCTTTTAACAGATGAGCTGATACATGATATCTGAAAGTAGTTTCATGACCATTTTTTAAAGAATGCAGTGCTCCCCCATTTCCTAGTTTGCATGGTATAACACTGTACCCTGTCTTTTCAGTGTATAGTCTTTGCTATGACTTCTGGCCAGATGTGGAATCACATCCGTGGACCACCATATGCTCATAAAAACCCACACAATGGACAAGTGGTAAGTGCATGTTCTAAGCATCAATATTATGAACTTGAATCCTGTTTACACGTCAGTCAGAAATTTAATATTTAGTAAGAGTTAATTCGTTAATCTATGTTCCCTTTTTTCTCATGTTCCTCCACTATGTACATACACAACATGCACACACACACACACATATATATATATATATATATGTGCATATGTATTTTAGGGTGAGGACTGCTTTAGCATGGATTAAAAAAAATTCAGTGTACCTACCATACCAAATATACACACATAAATTATTTTTTCAACTTTGTAGACTGCTATGGAAATAATATGTAATGCCCGAAGAGGAAATAAAAACAGTTTTAATGAGCATCCCAGCATTGGTAAATTTAATTTTTTCAGAAGAGATTAAATGGTAAATTTAATTTAGTTCATAAGATCATTTAAAACTCTAGAAAACATTGTATTAGAATGCCAGGAACAGTCTGCCACAAAATTGAAAGTGCAACTGGAGTGCAGTTCTGTCAGTAGCAGAGTTGACTTTAGTAACTGCTACTGTCTCATTGCCTTCCCTTTCCACCGAAAATGGTCAGTGGCACATACTGTCATAGATTGACTTTACAAAATACTGTCTCTGAGGCTTAGTATTAGAGGTTACTGAAGATTATTATCTGTTTTAAAATGTGCCTCTTTTCTCTAGCTTTTTCTTTATACAGGTTTTTGAGGGAAGAATATAATGTTACCCCGTATGTACTCATCACCAAACTTAATTGCCACTTCATAACCCATCATGGTCCATCTATTCTCCTGCCCAGTACTCTTCACTTGCTGTTGGATACTTTTGAAATAACCTACCAATATCATTTCATTTACACATAAATATTTCAATAGATATTTATAAAAAATAAGATTATCTTTAAAAATCTAACAGTAGTAGCACACAGTCACACATAAAATGGTAATAAATTCTCAATTTCTGAAATTCGGTCCTGAATGGAATACTGTTATCCTGTGGCAAACAATGTTATGATTTCTCTGCGAAGGTATAGTGTAAGCTTGTGAGGTTTTTTCTTCACTGCTTACAGTACTTCACATATCTTTAATATTAAAGAAAGCTGCTAACAAGTTATTTGTTTCTTCTTCCTAAATTGATTGTGACTTTCTTTGAACTTCTTTGTGGCTTCTTTGTGGAACTGTAATTTAGGGATATAACTCATTTTATTTATTGTATGCTCCCTGGTGACTCAGTTAGATTTTAAGGACTGGTTGCAAATAAGTAAGAGTTGCAGTCACTGATACTACATATTATAATAACAGTTTGTCTCATATTGTTGTCACCATTTTCAGATATATTCTATAGGTGTCTAGGATATAGAGTCAAAGTTCGACTCTAAACCAGACATGCTTTTTGTTACATGTACTATGTTTTTCGAAATCTGTCACTACTTAGAGAAGTTATTTGAGTATTTCAACTATTGATAATTAGATTTTACAGAAAAAATAATGGAAGTAATCATCAAGCAATAAATTGTCCCCTTTTCTTCAAGTCTTCCTGACTGCCCTATTTGAGAGTATGGTTGTTTTCTCACCACCCCTTCTCAATTATCCATACTCACTATCACCCTTTCCTCTTTAAATTTTTTCTCCTTTATCACTTAAAACATGCTATATAATTATTTTGTGTTACATTTGTTTGTCTTTTGCCAGGACCCCAGTAGGACATAAGCACTTCAGAAAATGAATTTTTTTTATATCTGTTTTAGTCCCTGACATATTCCTATTTCATAGAGAAGGGCCTGACACAAAGATTTGATCACTATGGTGTCAGTGATACTTAAAAGTATGAATTTAGGAAATCTTATATTTTTATTCCTGTCTTTTAACATTCTTCTAAAATAATATTCCTTATGTAAAAATAATTAAGCACTGCTTTTTGTTATTGTTTATTATTTGCTAATGTATATGAAAAATAACCTCCTTATGAAATGTTTTAGCTTGTGTAGGGGAAGAAAATAAAATTTTCCCTTTACTGTTCTGAGTCCCTCTTTGGTTGAGGTCCCTGTAATAAAAGGGAATAATAAGAGAAAACGAAATCTATTACCATGTATACCTCATGTATACGTGGGAGATACTCAGGAAGAAAGAAGAACACTCAGAAGTGGCTTAGATCTCAGGCTTAAGTACCAGCTTTGGTTAAAGACAGAAAGAAAAGTACTGAGGGAAAGTCAGTTATGTAGAGGTGACCAGGAAAAGGAAAGTTAAGTTTACTATGCAGATAGAATTTAGCAGGTACCTTCGCAGTTGATAAGGAGCTATAGTTGTCTCCAGGGATTAACCTTTGTCCTTCCTGGTAGAGAAAGGGAAAGGGACCTTTGTAAATTTAGGGCCTGCTTTTAGGGATATGGGAGAAGACTTTTCTTGTATCTGCTTCATCTCATCTCTGCTTTATCTCAATACCTTCAGCTTAAATTCTTAGGCCAAAGTGGCATATTAGAGTGTCATATTCTGTCATCCTTCTTTCTCACTGTCATCTTCTTACCATTTCAACCTTTACTTTGATAAGTCATGAAACTAATCCCTTCACATGTAGTTTATTGGAGTGAGCTCCAAAAAAGTTTGCACCAACAGTGACAACAACATGGATGCCATCAACTGCTAACTGAATATATGCTGGGCACCAGACTTCACAAATGAGTACTTTAGGCCACTAGATGAACATTGCTAAAGCACATTGATTATAGTTAAAATATCAATATATGTGGACCTAAGTTAACTCCAGTCAAGTGGGAAATCCTAAGTAGCTCTCCATTAATACTCCCATTGTAATATTCATTTGCATCCTGAGACTCCACTGCTTTGCAAAGAAACTCCATATTACTGTATTTGTACTGTCCCTTGTCCCCTGTATACGTGTTGCTTTCGCTTCTTCCATTCCTGCCTGGAATTTATATCAAAATATGCCCATCGTCAGACACCGCCTAATTTGCCATTCCTCTGAAATGCATCATTTAATTACATTAGAAATTCTTTTTTCCTTTATGCTACTTATAAACATGTAGTTATCCCATTTATGTATCTCTGCATTCCTTTATCATAATAATCCTTAAATAGTTTATGTATCTTACATTAGTCAAATTCTAACCATTGAGTTTATTTTAAGCTGTTTTTCATCTTTACACTAACATACAACTGGTCCTCATTAAATGTTTTCTTAAAAGATTTTAAAGACACTAGGAGATGTTTTCTTAAATTGGATTATCTTAATTCTTTCAATTTATTTTTTCTCACTAGTCAGAAGAGTAATAGGATCAACATGTCCCTGTTAATTTAGCATAAACCAGTTAGTAACCTTAACATGACAGGAACATTTAAGGTTCAGATTAGATCGGAAAGAAATTTTCTCTATTGATTTAGAAAATTTTTTATCCTGTTCCACATTGTTGTATTACTGTTTTGTAGGTAGAGAATGGCATGGCCAGTAAGAAAAGGTCCTGTGATAGCCAGAGGAACACATTAATAAAACAGAATTTTCTATATTTTTAAAAGAAAAAACTTTACCTTTGTATATTAATGAAGCTTTTCAGGACCTTATCTTTTCAGCACCTTATCAAAAGTTACAGAAATGAGACTTATACCTATAACCAAGATATTCAAAAAGATGAATTTTGTCCCAAACTGTTCACCCTCTTCTGTTTTACAAAAATATAATGTTTTCTTATATTTGAATAAAGTATTAGGATTGAAGGGAAAAAATCATGAAAGTCTTGGAAATATAGGAGGCTTCTTGGTACAGAATCAATTGCTTGAATGTGGTCTTGGCCAGAGATGTGGATCCAGTTTTAGACTGTTGTGAGATGTTAATTACTAAGCAGTGTAGTAAAGGCAGGTTAAAGGGGCAGGTTAAAGTTGTCCCTTGTAATATAACTCTCTTCTTGTTTTAAATTTTAACATATTTTAGAAAAACATCCCTTCCTGCTTTCTTGTATGCATAATGTCAACGTATACTGAAACAGAAAATTGTGGTTTAAGTTTTGTTTTAATGAATTGATCTGCATAATAATGTGTTTTCCTATTACTGAACAAAATAGAAGATTAACTTTGCTTTATAACATCAAGTGGTTACTGGCACAGAATTATACTTTAAACAATGCTTGTTCATTAGAATAATAATAGTGAATAGGTTTTTTTTTAAAAATAATAGATGTGTTTAAATTTCAAGATACAACTTGAAAATTAGCACTATCCTTCTTTGTAATTTCTTCATATTTTAACCTTTATTTCTGAAAAGAAATTACCATGTAGTATATGTGTTTTTGAGAATAGCTATAATTAGGCTATTTATCTCTTTCAGTGGTATGGAATAAAATGACAGAATGAGTATCTTATGAATATTTATATAGGAATTGTGTAATTTGGCATTAATTCTTGATGACTAGTGCACATTTAGTGAAGTAAGGTATATGAAACAGTATTTTTATTGTGTTTTTCATACTTTTAACATAATTGAATAACCATCTATATTTTAAAGATTTATTTTTAGGTAGGTACTACACGTAAATAACAACTAACTAAATTCTAATTTTAGTTCATTTTTCCTGAATTAGTTTTAAAAATGTCTTGCTTCAACTATTGGATTTGTCTTAGATGGTTTGAGAAACTGTAGTAAAATTGTTTATAAAGAATTATTTCATTGTTAAAGTGAATTAACTTTATTAATATTTTAAAATTATATTCAGAATTTCTGTCTGGTTTTTAGAAATAGTTGGGGGATTTTTTCCCCCTTTTTCTGAAGTTGGTTTCTAAATAGAATTCTGAATGATGGTGAGTGCTTTCATGCTGGACTTTTAAAATTTGCTGTTTTTCCTGTACCATGGGAGTTTTTAATGGGTTTTGGCTTTGTTATATCTAGTTTCATACCTTTTAGGCATAATGCTGTGAGGTCAGAGAGCAGATATTTTACAAATGAGGAAAAATAATAGTCCAAGTAGTAGAAGCCAAAATTAGAATGGTGGATCTCATAATGTGAT